GGGGGAGGCGTGCCACCGGAAGTGACGTGCACTTGATAGAAGTTGCGTGGATAAGCTGTTGCCAGCATGCTTTGCTGATATCCAGCGATGTATGTTGGAAGCAGCTTATCCACATAGCTTCTATCAAGTGCACGTCACTTCCGGTGACACGCCTACCCCAACTTCACGGATATCGAGTATACATTTGCATCAAACAGAAAGAAGGCATAATATCAATCTGAGGAACATACTTACACAGATGTTATAAACGGCTCAAATATTATATGAGACAGCGGAAAACCTCCTCTTCAATCGGTACCGTTGTAGACTTTGCTTTTTGCAATAAAATTTTCCTATCCAAAACAAGCACTTGGTCCTTATGCGAGAGCTGAAAATTACTCCACTTGCCTGCTCTTACCTGTTGCCTGCCTGAGCTATTACCCTTTAAAAGAGAGAACCAAGCTCTACAATTTAATGAAGCTTTTTCAAATCGAAGTGGATTAAGACTAGAACAAGAAGTGCGCCAGGAGCGGGGAGCTCTCCTTCCTACTTCGAATCTGACTAACAGTTTCTTACAAGAAATATGGGGAGGAGAAAAACTAACACTTCCTGATCCTTCGTCCATAGAACAACTTTATGATTTGGATGAGCTTTCGGCTTCAAAGAGTTGATTTTGTCCACAAAATCTATAACGGTGTGCTTCCTTTGCTCAGAGCCACAAACCACCATGTCCTCGCCAGCAAGCACGGGGAACAGTAGCTAAAATCATCATAATATCGCAGAGAGACACGTAGTGGAATCAATAGATCCCCACTTACATTGTCAAGATGATGAGAGACTGTTCGCATCGTCTCTTCATTACCAATAGCGACCTGCTCCTTGCTAAAAAATTGGGAAAACTGTTACTGATACTCTATTATCACCTTCTTGAGTTTCTGTACCTTTTGGATGTGCTTGTTTTCATCGGAGAAGTCAGTTTAGGAAAGCGAAGAATTGGGATATTTGCACAATATAAGACACCTTCTCGAATATGGTTCTCTGAACACTGCACAAGAAAAGGGTGCAAGTTAGCCAGGAAGGAATCATAAACCTGAAAACATACCCGTTAGCTCAAAAGTCAGCAAATCTTCACACAGAAAATCTAATCTGGATTGTTTTAAATGGAAGGAAATAAAAACAAAGACTTCCACAGTGTACCTTCAACTACCCAAACCTAACCAGCTATCGAGCCGTTTTTTCACGCCGTGTGTTCTGTGAAATGATGTACACTACAGTGTCAAACATCCATAATACCAAGAGCATGAGAGAAGTTCGGGATTCTGGCTGTCTTTGTGTATTGGTGATGGGGACAGGTGGCGATTTGAAATTGCGAGGTGGTGGTGGAAGACAGGTGGTTGTGCTGCTGTTCAATGGTGAAGGGGTCGTATTTGACATGTTTTTCGACAAATTTGGCGGAAACTGAAGGAAGGAAAAATGAAATAGGCGAAACTAATGGACTTATAATTTCTTCCACCGTAATTATCTCCCTCCCACCCTATCTTGCCCCAGCTCCTAATGTTATGAAGCTGTGCTGTGGACAAAGGATTGAGCTCGCTTCGCTGGAGAAATCTGTCCCATGTGTGTAGCAGCAGGGTGAAATTGTCTCGAAGAAGTTTGACGAATTCAAAACCCAACAACGGTCGACCGCCTTGATTGTGTCATTGAGCATGGCCCCACATGATACGATGACGACTCCGACAACACACTAGATGAGCAGCATTTTTAGTTCTCCTCAGTATCAGAAAACCAGAAGCGCGTTGAGTGCAGACCAGACACCACAAGTGACGACGGCCTCCAAGTAAATCTGGTAAGTAGTGTTCATAGTGATAGCTGATAGTTGGTAAATGATAGTTGTAATTAGTGACAGAATACAACTGCAACAGGCTAATCATTTCATTGGCAGAAAACATTTACATTTTGTGGAGGCCGTCGTCACTTGTGGTGTGTGGTCTGCACTCGACGCTTCCAGTTTCCGAAACAGAGAGTACTTCTACCTCCACCCTTTCACAAACCGACAAATTATAAAATCCAATGAAGAAGGACGGAAATATGATCCCCATTGCCTCAAATAGGACTCCAGTCGAGAAGTATTAGACTGCTGCTCACTCTGCGTGGCACAGTGAACACCGAAGAAAACTTTCTGATCACAGGCAAAATAAACTCACACATGGTGTCAGTTCTGAAATTGGACACAGTGATGAAGTCTGCAAGAAGGACATGAACATTTCCTCGGCAGCAGCACGATCTTCACCAGAATGACCGCTGCAATCCATATCTGGAAAGGTTTTCATAAGATACTCGTGCGATCGTTTCAAAATAGTGCACCTTATTGGAAAATAAGCAAAAGCAGCTATGAGAATCCCTGAGGCGACAAACACAGGGAACTTCTATGGATAAAGGATAAAGGATAAAGCATTTGCCGTTGATCAATCCCTTTTTGGGATGCGGCACGCATTCTACTTCCATTTGTACATTCGTAGTGGCGTTTGAATGCGATGTGGCCTATACAATGACTTGCGGGGGCCAGCCGATGTACAAGTCAGTGTTTTTATCCTCCCAGACAAGTCTGGTACCAATTAACCGACCCCGGAGGGATGGAAGGCTTGGTTGGCCCGGGCGACTCACGACCCAGGATTTGATCCCCGGACCGCTCGCGTGGTAAGCGCACTTGCCACTACACCACTTCCGCCCAATGGACACCAGGGAAAATTTACCACATCGTCGACCTCCTTCTCTCCCAGACTCTTTGCAACCAGCAATGCACATTTGGACAACGTTGCCAGGTATGAAAGAGCACAAGTGATTCGAGTGGTACGACCTTGCTCGAGCCACATCTAAAGCCACCAGATGGAACTACACAAGAGTCCAGCGTTTGTCGCGAAAGCCGCGGTGAAGGGAGTCGTTGACACTACGCGACGAGTCGTAAGCGCGAAGTCGGCACTGTAAGGCCGATGTCAGACTTTGCGAATCGCGCGATTCGCTAGCGTCTGCGGTCGCGTCGCGGCCAGTGAATCACTCAATTGGCTGGTACCGCAACGCGACCGCGGACGCTAGCGAATCGCGCGAATCGCTAGTAGCGAATCGCGCGATTCGCAAAGTCTGACATCGGCCTAAAGAGCAGCGGGAATTCCTTCCTAACGTATTGAGGACGGAGAAGGAGAGCATTCCACCGCTGTTTGCGTTTTGCCGTCACGTGTATTATCCACATCGAGTCAAGTGTGACGATCACGAAATGCAACACAGATGAACCGTACCGCAGCTGTAGACAACTATATCATTCAACTATAAATATAAACCTCCCTATGCCTAGACTTTCTGCGATAATACTATTTTTGACATAGCCACTTTAGTAAGCAGGTTCGTAAAGCCCCAGTGAGAG